CACCATCATTTAGGGCTGCAGTGGCGCCCCTTTCTCCTCTCTTGACTGGCCTCTCATCACCTCTGTTATTGCTACATTTCCATCTCCCATTTCTTGAGGTTGTTTGTGTCTGGTTTAGTTACACCTTTGCTGTAAATTTTTAGATTACTTCCCTCAATAATTTGCCTGCCTCTTTTTCTTTGCCTTCTTCCTACTTTTTCTTCCTCCATATTTTCTTTTGATTTAGATTTATGAGTAGCAGGTGACCCTGTAACCGCCACACCCTCCCCATTCCCTCAGGAAGTGTACTTTGTATTTCCTCTGCATGCAGAATGCTTCTGTCCTGCCCACACATTTTTCAGGAAGACCTGAAACTCACTCACTCAGTGAGGATGAACCCAGTGCTCTGTATTGTATTTAGGATGAACCCAGTGCTCTGTACTGTATTTAGGTCTTTATGTACTAATGTACCCATTTGTCATCAGTACTGGACGTGCATGGTTGGAGGTGGGAGGCAGAGGGCCTCCGGTGCCGCTGCCCAGGCTGCAGCCCCATATTTCAAAACAAATCTAAGCCACACGCAGTTAATCCCAGTGATTCTGGAGACTGAGGCAGGAGGATCACATTCAAGGTTAGCCTCTCCAATTTAGAGAGACACTGTCTCAAAAAAAAAAAAAAAAAAAGTTGGGGGGGGATGTAGCTTGGTGGTAGAGTGCTTGCCTAGCATGTGTGAGACTCTGGGTTCAGTCCTCAGTACTGCAAAAACAAAAAGAAGTCTACCACAATTTCATTTTACATAATCCAGAGCCTTTTTTCTGATCCCAGGTTTGAAGGTGACTGGTTTTAGGAATAACCATTTATGTATTCATTGAATATTAATCAAACATCTACTTAATCTGGTGTACTGACCCTGTACTTGAGATATGGTAGTAAGATAGACAAGCTTGCTGTATGGAACTAACAATTGTCTTTAAACTTAACTTTCTATGAGCATCAGATGTTAAGGCTCAGCTCAGGTGTTGCTTCTTCAGTCCTGTATTAAGTGCTCCCGGTGCTTTCATAGCCTTGTGGTTAGCTTTTTATTTTTATGTGGTGCTGAGGATTGAACCCAGTGCTCTGTACTGTATTAGGCCTTTATGTACTAATGTACCCATTTATCTTCCAGGAAGCTTCATGAAGGCATTTTTTTCTCATAAAGGAGCACTCAACTTTGCATCCTAAGTCCCTGGCACAGAGTCTACCTGTAAGCTTAAAAGGATCAAGTGTATCAAAAATGGTAGGAGGAGGCTGGGGTTGTGGCTCAGTGGTAGAATGCTTTTACCTAGCATGTGTGAGGCACTGGGTTTGATTCTCAGCACCACATAAAATAAATTAAAAAAAAAAGGTCCATTGACAGCTAAAAAATATTTTAAAAAATGGTAGGAGGGGAAAGTGCACGTCTCTAATTGGGGCCTGCATCTGCTTTTGTATAGTCCCTAGAGTTATAGAAACACTCTGAGGAGGCAGCCATGGTCAAGTTGAAAACTAGGATAGAGATTTGGAGTGAGAGGACCAGTTTCCATTCTGGAGGTTTTTGGTGTGCCACTGCTAATCCTCATAGGGGTCCATGAGGCAGGTGGCATCATGAGGAGACGAAAAAGGACAGAGAAATGAAGTAACTCATGCCACAAGTCTCATAGTAAGTGGAAAACTTGTTTGTCTGACTTATTCATTCCATTCATTTATAAAGTTGGAATGCATTTTAATTTTATTTGCACTATTCACCACACAGAATTATCAAAAGACATAAATCTGTGTCCAGTTGCTGTAAGTCAAATATGAAAACTAAGCATTTTACTTAGTTTTTCTGTTAAAATTTGTTATTTAACTTTTATGTGATCTTTGCCCGAATCTTTTGGCTCACTTGAATTGACCTGTTTGTTCAATTAATAATCATTGAAAAAAGAAAGAATAGCTCTTTTTTGTTTCTGCTCCCCAGAAATGGTCAAAGAAAACTATATTCTGGGACAAGGGGTATGTGCACATTTAAAGTTTTACTTCCCTAGTAGCTGGGGCTACAGGCATGCTATATCCTGGCTACATTTAAGATTTTGATAAGTGGGGCTGGTGTTGTACTCAGTGGAAGAGTACTTGCCTAGCACATGTGAGGCACTGGGTTCAATCCTAAACACAACATAAAAATAAATAAAATAAAGATATTGTGTCTGTCTGTAACTAAAAATGTTAAAAAAAAAAGATTTTGATAAGTATTGCTGAATTATCTTCCAGGAAGGTTATGCCAGTTTTTACTTCTCTCAGTGTTGTGAGCATCTGTTTCCCCACATCCTTGATGAATTTTAGCATTATCAATCTTTTAAAGCTTAGAGGAAACCAATCAAATTTTAATTTACCTGTTTATTATTTGTGAAGTTGAGCATCTTCTGTGTGTTGGTTGTTTGCATTTCATTTTTAACTTGTCTATTACTAGCTTTTATTGTTATTTTGGCTTATCTTCTGTTGATTTGTAGGAACTCATTTATGTATTACATATATTTACAAATGTTGTAGACAGTTTTTGGTTGCCTCTATTTTAACTTTTTGGCATCTTTTTTGATTTTTATTTAGTCAGACCTCTTTATAATGTTTATAGCTTTGGTTTTCTGCTAAGAAGGCTTTTCCCTTGCCAATTTAAAAATTTGTTCCCTTTTCTTCCTTTTTACTTAATAATCTGGCAGGCAAGGGAAGTGTTGAGAGCCATTCTTTGGTAATATGATTAGATACTAGGGATTGATCTGCATTGCATGAAATCTTTGAAGATGTAGAGTATTAGAAAGGAAATGTTAATTGGAAGGGTAAGGTAAGCTGTATAAATTAATTAGCCTAATTGCTGACCTTTGCTTCTTACATGTTTGTATTCTACAGCTGCTCATACTGGAAAGAGTCCTAAGAAGTTGTTTATGACAATTCTTTTCTAAAAGTTTAGGTTTTTAGTACATATTGAGTGAGATCAGGATGTATTTATTTCTTTTATGCTTCAGAGTATAGGGAGGTGGGGGGAGGGAGTGGGTAGAATAAGAGAAAAGTAAAGGAAAGAATGGAAAGAATTAGGAAGGAAAGGGTGTGACAGTGTTAAGAGTGGCAGTAGAGATAAAATCAGAGTGTTCAGTGTTACTGATAGTTTTATTCTCTGAATTACATTTTGTTTTCTTTGGAGTTTTAAGCATTTGTGGTTCAAAACTGGGTTGTACATGGATGTTAAAAAGACCTACTATTCAAAACTCGGTACACTGATGGTTCAAGTTTTGGTATTTCCATGATGCAACTCTTTGTGTGTTTAAATAATCATCACTATTTTAGTGAAGAATTACTGTGTAATTTCAAAAAGTGAAACTGATGTGAAACATATTTCCTTCAGAAGCAATAAAGTAGCCTTAAACTTGATTCTTTGCAATATAAGGAAGGCTGTCTTTTTAAAAAAATATTTTTTAGTTGTTGATAGATCTTTACTTTTATTTATTTATACGTGGTGCTGAGAATCGAACCCAGTGCCTCACACATACCAGGCAAGTGTGCTATCACTGAGCCCCAGCCCCAAGGCTGTCTTTTTCTATTCTTTGCTTTAGTACCTCACAAGATGTTTCAGTGTTAGAGATGAGGTATCCATTCTATAAGCAGTGTTTTTTTTTTTTTTTTAAAGTTTAGACTTAATTAATGGATTTATAACTTTTCTATATTAGGAGATTTACAAAAGAGGGTTTAAAATCAGGGAAGTCTTTAATCTTTCTCTCATCTCTTATGTTAACATGCCTCTGTGCCTCATTTGTCTGCTTTGTTTATTGGCTTAGCCCAAAGCTGTTTGTGTCTTGAAAAACACACATTGAGGTTTTTGATATCATATGAGTATGACAGTAATTGCCATCTTTTCTTATAAAAGTACTTTTGTAGTCATTTCTCTCAAAGAATAAAGAGAGAAGTTGAAGGGATAAAAAAGTTAAAAATTATGAACATGAAGGATAGGAAAATGGTACAGCTGATTTTTTTTTTCTTCATTTTTTTGTAGTTGTAGATGGACAGAATGCCTTTATTTTATTTGTTTATTTTTATGTGGTGTTAAGGATTGAACCCAGTGCCTCACACATGCTGGGCAAGCGCTCTACCACTGAGCCTCAGCCCCAGCCCCTACAGCTGGTTCTTGAACTCAGTTCTTTGGAATTAAGATTTCAAATTCTTATTATTTTGTGATCCTTACACCCTTGTCTGTAAACATATTTATAAATGGAGATGTTGTGAAGGGATGAATGAAGCTTTTTACTGAGTCACATTGTGTTGAGAAGTATGAGAAAAGTGAGTAATTTTAATTATAAATTGTAAAGTTGCATTGAATTGATTTGAATTCTAAAGATGAATATGGAGTAGAGTAAGAAGAACATATTGTAATGAGCACCCCAAGTTTTTCTTCAGAAATTTGGGAAAATCATAGAAAGTAACTTCAAGCTTTCCTAGCAACTAAGAGAGATTAGGATTGAAAGAGTTATATTTCTCTTAAACTGAAGAATACATTCCATGGATAAAGATCATATTCTTCAACTTTTTGTTTTCTCCCCAGCTATGTTGGGTTATGTTGTACATACATGATCAATAAATACCTGAGACTTTGCACATACTAGGCAAGTACTCTACCACTGAGCCATATCCCAGCCTGGCAAATTGTTTTTTTTTTTTAAACTTTATTTTATTTATTTATTTTTATGTGTGCTTAGGATTGAACCCAGGGCCTCACATGTGCTAGGCAAGCGCTCTACCACTGAGCCACAACCTCAGCCCTCTCCCGTCCCCCCTCCCCGCAAATTGTTTTTAATGCAGGTAATCTTATCAGGTAGCTTTTGTACATTAAAAGGATGCCACTGCAAGCATGGACCTATCTTGGTATGGAGAAATTACTTAGGGTAAACCAGTGTGTGAGATAAGCAGTGCCATTTATTGTTGAACTTAGAATATTATATGGTTACTATTTATTTATAAGTCTTTATTTTCTCTTTTAGGACATTCGGAAATTCTTTGGAGTTATACCAAGTGGAAAAAAACTTGTAAATGAAACAGTAAAGAAGAATGAGAAAACGAAGTCTGTTGAAGAAACTTTAAAAGGAAAGAAAGGAATAAAGGAAATCAAGGTCAGTTTTCCAAACGTAATTTTTTATTGTATGAAATGTTAAATAAACTGAGTTCCTAAACTTGATATACTGGGAGCCATGAGTAAATTAGATTTAATAAGATCATTCGGTCTGTGTAACATTTCATCCATGGTCATCTGAAATTGTGCCCTCATATGCAAAGTACATTCGTTCCATCTCAGTAGCCACAAACAGTCTAAATTTATTCCAGCATTGTCTTAAAGTCCAAAGTCTCATCTACATGTCATCTAAATCAGATATAGGTGAGATTTGAAGTATGATTCATCCTCTCTAGCTGTGAATCTTTGAAACCAAATATCATGGTGAAACAGGCATAAGCTAGACCTTCCCATTCCAAAAGAGAGTCATCAGAAAGAAGAAAGGGATAGTGGGTGGTGTCAAGCAAGTCTAAAATCTAGCAGGGCACATTATATTTTTAAGGCTCAAGAATAATTTTTTTTGGTTTGTGCCCTATCTTCCAGACCTACTGGGTGGTAGTTCTGTCTCCATAGCCCTAGGCAGCAGTCTTGCCTGTGTGGCTCTCCAGGACCTCTCTCCTTCAAGGCTACAGGTGGAGGATGTCTGGTCTGTTGAAACTAAGCGGCTTCAGGTTTCACACTGTTGAAACTGAAGAGGCAATTCTGATGACCTCTGAATTGCCTTTGCTGTTGTTCTTCCTTTTTTCCCTGAAGAATGTAACTATTATTCTGTCCTATAGAATCTAAGAAGTCCCACATCCTTCCTTTGTTCTGTCTCCATCCTCTTCAGTTCTAACTGGCAGTGTTTGTGCTTATGGAATCCCATAATCTCTTTAGTGCTAATTCAGATGCTTTGGGCATTCTCTTCAGAACATGCTTTCTCATTTTTTGCAATATAAACAGGCTGAGAATTTTTCAAGTCTTTAAGTTCTGGTTCCTTTTTGCTTAACAATCCCTTTTCAATACATCTCTCTCTCCTCCATTTTACTATAAGCAATCAGCAGGGCTCAAGCTACACCATCAACGTTTTGCTCTGAAATCTTCTCAGCTAAATATCTAATTTTCTTCTTTAGAAGTTCTGTCTTTCACAAAATATAAGAACACAACTCAGCCAAGTTCTTTACTCTAGTTTTCAATAACCTCTTACTCCTTCCTTCCTTTCTTTGTGTTGGGTATCAGATCTAAGGCCCTTGTGCATGCTAGGGAAACATTCTACCACTGAGCTAGATCCCAAGCCCTATATTCTTATTTTTATGAACATTCTGTTCGTGATAATATACATATTCTCTGAGATGAAAGAAGTTTTTACTATAGCACTCATTTAACTCTTCTTTTTTTATGAGCCTTTACTGGAATTGACTTTAATGTCCATATTTCTATTAATAGTTGTGGCAATCTAGGTTTCTTCTAGCTTGTATCTCAAAACCCTAGTAGCTCTTACCCATTACTCAGTTCTAAAGATGCTTCCATATTTTATGTATCTTATTTTATACTTTTATTTATTATATATATTTTATATATGTATTTATTTGTATTTATAGCAGTATTCCATTTCTCAGCACTAAAATTTGTATTGGGGTCTCCAGAGAAACAGAACCAATAGGATATGTGTGTGTGTGTGTGTGTGTGTATATACACACACACATACATATGTATACATATACATATAAAGAAATTTATTACAAAGAATGGGTTCATGTGATTACAGAGGCTAAAAAGTTGCAGTTGGCAAGTTGGAGACTTGGAGAGCTAATGGTATCGTTCTAGTCTTAAGTTTGAAGGCCTGAGAAACAGGAGAGCTAATAGTGTGGTTCTGGTCTGAAGCCTGACAAACTTAAGACCCAGGAAGGGTGACGTTCCAGTTATAGTCCAAAGGCAGGAAAAAACTGATGTCCTTGCGGCGAGCAGTCTGGCATAAAGAATTCTTATTCAGCCTTTTGTTATTTTTAGGCCTCTACCTACTTGGTTGAAGTTCATCTACATGAGGGGCAGTGTAATGGTTTAGGTATGAAGTGTCCCCCAAAAGTTCATGGTGTGAGACAATGTAAGAATTTTCAGATATGAAATTCTTACAAAGAGGTCTGATCTAATCTGTGGATTAATCCACTGATGGATTAACTAGGCAGTAACTGCAGGCAGGCAGAGTGTGGCTGGAAGAAGTAGGTCACTGGGTGTGTAACTCTCCCTGATAAGCAGAGCTAACTCTTGTTTCCTGGTTGGCATGTCCTGAGCTGCTTTCTTCTACCATGACCTTGTGCCATGATGTTCTGCATCACTTGTGACCAGAGCTATAGAATCAGCCAACCATAGACTGAATTTCTGAAACTGGGAGCCAAAATACCTTTTCCTCCTTCAAATTGTTCTTGTCAGGTATTTTGGTCACAGTGATGAAAAGCCAACTAAACAGAGGGTATCTGCTTAACTTGGCCTATTATTGATTTATTCTATTTATTAAGCTCATCCAAAAGCACCCTCACAGAAACACTTTGTGTTTCTGGCATACCTTGTGGGCCACTCAAGTTTGTATATAATCAGTCATTATAGGTCATATTTTTTTCTTTCTTTGTATGTCTAGTTATTTTGGATTTATCATGGAGATTGTGAATGATATGGTGTAGGAACTTTGGATTCTGTTATATTATTCCAAAGAATGTTGATTCTTTTGATTTATTAGGCAGTTGACTTGACTGAATTTAAGCTCTAAATTCTTGCCTCCCCTGTGACAGGCAGCTGCAGAAATCTTTATTCAATTCGTTTAACTTTAGCTAAGTGATTGGAGGTGTTCCAGAAAGGATAGGAGCAAACCAGAAATTGGGGCAAAGTTTATAATAGGCAGAATTTGGAATTCCTTTTCTGTAGTTCTTTCCTTTGGGAGAAAACATCTTTGACTTTTGAATTATTGTAGTTGCTATTAACTCTGTTCTCTGATTTAATGATATAGATTGAATTATAATGGTTCATTTGTTCCATTTTCTAGCAAACTAGTTGATTTTATGTTTTTGAAGTTTCATTATGAACAGAAATAGCATATATTTTTACCTTTTCATTGTTTACAGGTTTTTTTTTTTGCTGCCTGCTTTCTTGATGCTTTTTCGGAAAATTTTAATGTTAGAAATGTGATGTTTAATTACAAAATATGAATAATGCCTTTTGCCTTGGTTTTATTTTTCCAACAGGCATTGGATAGTAGTGGGTTTCTAGTTTAGATTTTATTTCTAGTTTAGATTTTATTTCAGTTTAGGTTTCATTTTTTTAGGAAGTACTGCCTTGTATAATGTTAAGATAATTTCTGTTACTATAATAAAATAGCTAGGATAGTCAACTTACAAAGAGAAAAGGTTTATTTTGGCTCATAGTTTTGGAGGTTCTAGTCCATGTTTGACTTATTCCATTGCTTTAGTATGGTGGTGAGGTAGTACCTCATGGTGTGAGCATATAACTGAGCAAAGTTATTCACTTCATGGCCAAGGGGCAAAAGAGAAAGAGAAAGGGTTCAGTGTTTCACAATCCCCTTTTGGGGACAGCTCCACCCCACCCCATCTGCCTCATAACTTAAAAAGTTCCACTGCCTCCCAATAGTGCTATACTATCCTGGCAACCAAGCCTTTAACACATGGGTCTTTGGGGGGCACTCAAGATTCAAACTGTATCACCTTGTCTTTTAATATCTGACATTCTTTTATTCTTTGTTATGCATTATTGGGGCCCAATAATAATATAGCTTTTTCTGTAATTCTTTACCATCCTGATACAGTTATTGTGTGGCTTATTCTTTAGTCCAGTAAGCGCATTATTAACATTTTGGGCTAGAAACTCTGTTGTGGAAGACTGTTCTGTGAATGGTAGGATGTTTAGTAGCATCTCTGGTTTACTTATTAGATGTCCCATAACCCTCCTCCCCCTCAGTTGTGATAAATAATAATGTCTCCCAACATTGACATATGTCTCCTTGGGAACAAAATTGCTCTTGAGAACCATTAAGCCCAAGACTAATGGGGGGGGGGGAATAAAGGGATGTTATATAATAGGCTTCTTTGTGTTCTAATTATATTATGATGTTTTTAGGTAAATAGTTCTTGTAAAGAGGATGCCTCCAAACAGAAGCAACCAAACAAGAAAAAGAGGATTATCTATGATTCAGGTAATAGTTCTTCTAAGGACCTTTAAAGTTTAAAAATTATTTTGTATTTCTTAGAACAGTATTTTACAATGATGTTCTGAGGCACTTAGTTCTTTATGATGTTTATAAGTACTGTGAGAATAGGGCTGTATGTGCAAATAAATTTTTTTTTTTTTGGGTACCTATTATTGAACCCAGGGGTACTTTACCATTGAGCTACATCCCCAGTTCTTTTTATTTTTTATTTTGAGACAGGGTCTCGTAGGGTCTCGTTAAGTTGCTGGGCTGACAATGAATTTGCAATCCTGCTTCAGCCTTCTGAATTGCTGGGATTACAGGTGTGTGCCACTGTGTCTGGCTATTGAATCAATTTTTAGGGGCTGGGGATATAGCTCAGTTGGTAGAGTGCTTGCCTCATATACACAAGGCTCTGGGTTCAATCCTTAGCACTATACCCGCCTCTCCAAAAAATTTTTTTTTTTTTAAATTAAGTAATTTTTTCTTTTTCTTTGTTTTTTTTTTTTTTGAGATGGAAGTCTTGCTATGTTGCCCAGCTGGTTTTGAACCTCCTGCCTCACTCCCAAGTGCTGGGATTATAGGCAGGCAACATTGTGCCCCTCTAAAACAATTTTATTCAATTGCAGAATTTATCAGAACATGAATGTTATATCTAATATGCATCTATTCATACATGTGTGTATATGTGTGTGTATATGTGTACATGTATGGTTGTGTTCTGTGGTGCTAGGATCAATTCCAGGATGTCATATATCCCCAGTCCAGAACCTAAATATATTAATGTATTAAGGTTGTTTAGATGGGGATAGAATATGTAGCATATGTCTCATATTTACTTTGATTATGGTGTATTCATTCATTCATTCATTCATTTGCAGTACTGAGGATCAAACTCAGGACTTCATACATACTATCCAAGCACTATACTCAGTCTCCTAGTAGCTTTATTATCTTTTGAAATGGGGTCTCACTGTGTTGCTCACTTTGCTCTCAAACTCCTGGACTCAAATAATCAACCTGTCTGTCAGGTAGCTGAGATTGAGTAGCTGGGATTCCAGGTATGTGTCACTCCACCCAGACTTTTTATCATGATTTTGACAGTGATAGAAATTGTTGGGCTGGGGATGTGGCTCAAGCGGTAGCGCGCATGCAAGCGTGCGCCCGGGTTCGATCCTCAGCACCACATACCAACAAAGATGTTGTGTCCACCGAGAACTAAAAAATAAATATTAAAAATTCTCTCTCTCTCTCTCTCCTCTCTCACTCTCTCTTTAAAAAAAAAATTGTATTGCCTCAGTTCTAAAAGTATTTAGTATTTATTATATGCCTTTTACTGCTCTTTTTTTTTTTTCTTTTTTGGTGTGTGTGTATGTATGTGCAAACACGCTCTGGGGATTGAACCCAGGGCCTTGATGCTTGCAAAGCAAGCACTCTACCAACTGAGCTATATCCCCATCCCATATTGCTCTGTGTTGTAAGGAATTTATAGAAGTGTGTGTCTTTTCTCTAGGAGTTTCCTTTGTTTGGAAAACTATTGCAATATAATTGTTTGATATAATTTAAGACAGTATGAGTCAGGACTTATAAATGAATGGTGCAGAGGAAGAGGAAGGACAGCCAGTTTATGAAACATTATGCTAAGTGCTCACACTTTGTCCTCATTTATAATATTTAAGTGTTCTGGGCAATTAGGCTGTGGTGGACAGAATAATGGTCCCCAAAGATACCTAGAGCCTAATTCCTAGAACCTGTGAATATGTTAGGTTAAGTGACAGAAGGAAATAAAAGTTACAGAGGCTAATTGGATGACCTTCAGATAGGAAGATAATCCTGGATTGAGGTGGGCTTTGTGTGCATAAGAAGTAGGAAGGCAGAAGAAGAAATTTAGAGAGAGATTATCGAGGAAGTTCAGAGAATCAGAGATGGCAGAATGAGAAGGACTCTACTTGATATTCCTGGGTCTGATGATGGAAGAAGTGGTTATGAGCCAAGAAATGTTGGCAGCCACTAGCAGCTGGAAAAGTCAGAGAAAGTGATTCCTTCCTGAGTGATCCAGCAAGGAACAGCCCTGTTGACACCTTGATTTTTTTTTTTTTTTTTTGATCAGTGAGATCCATTGCAGACTTGTAACCTCCAGAACCATGAAGATGATAAATTTATGTTGTTTTAAGTTATAAATTTTGTGGTGATTTGTAAGAGGAAACTAATATACAGGCTTATTGCTGGCTAAAACTAACGGGTGACAATTTTCAAGAGAGATGTGCTCTGAAAAGGGCCTTGAGGAATTGATTCACAATAACTACTTAAGAATATTATAATACTTCTTTTCAAAGTTTTATTTTCCGTTCACCTACAGATTCAGAATCAGAGGAGACAGTGCAGGTAAAAAATGCCAAAAAGCAATCAGAAAAATTGCCGTTGTCTTCTAAACCTAGTAAAATTTTGCGGAAGGATCCTGTTACATACATTTCAGAAACAGGTAAGGGTACTAAATACGTTTTGTTATTTGGAGCCATGCAGTGTTAGGCTCTTGAACTTTTCATTTATGTTAAATTGTATCTCCTTCATTTTGAATTGAATTTCTAGTGCCTATTTTATTTTGTTGAATCATATTTATCAGGGGAATGGTCATCTTTCACATTTTCTGTGGGCTAAAGGGCCAATTAAAGGGGAATTTTTAAAAAATGCTTTATATTGAATCATTTTGAAGATTTATCTTGAATTATATATTGAATTATTAGTGGGTTATTTAAGAACTACTTTTTTTATATAAGTTTTTTTTTTTGATCTTGCATGCTAAAGTCATAATAATATGGTGATTACACAGATATGTGGGCTTTAACCCAGGAGCAATTCATCACTGAGCTACATCCCCATCCCTTTTTATTTTGAGGCAGAGTCTCACTAAGTTGCTTAGGGTCTAGCTAAATTGCTGAGGCTGGCCCTTAACTTGCAATCCTCTTGAGTTTTCTGAGCAGCTGGGATTGTTGGCATGTGCCACTATATCCTGTTCTTTTTTTTTTTTTGGTACCACTGAGCTACATCCCCAGAGTTTTTTTTATTATTTTATTATTTTTTTAGTTGTAGTTGGACACAATTAATTATATTTGGTGCTGAGGATTGTACATACTAGGCAAATGCTCTACCACTGAGCCGCAACCCCAGCCCCACGTTTTTTTATTTTATTTATTTATTTATATATTTTTTTAATATTTATTTTTTAGATGTAGATGGACACAACACAATGCCTTTATTTTTTATGTGGTGTTGAGGATCAAACCCAGGTCCTGCCCGTGCTAGGGGAGCGCTTGACCACTGAGCCACAATCTCAGCCCCAACGTTTTTTTTTTTTTTTTTTGTAAAATTCTGTTTTC